TGGGGGGGGGGGGGGGGGGCATTCGCCTTATTAGAAGTCAGTGTACCATCAGAGTGATTTTGTAACTGATCTTAAATTTACATACAGTTGCTTTAACATGCCCAAATCACATGCTTGGTTATTATACATAAGGCTGTTTAAAGTTCCTGATCTTTAATTGACCATACACTAAAGAAGTGTAGGCCGAATCACTAAATCCAATGAAAAATATCCATACCATCTTTAAGATTTTAATCGCTCGCTCAGAACTCAGACTTTGCGGTCAGAGAGCTCTCATGTGTACCTTTCAGGTCCCCGCTTGTAGCGCCGGACCCCCCTGATTGGTCTCTGCAAAAAATCCTGCGAACGCTTCCCCTGAACTTCTCAGCAGCAAACAGGTAGACCAGGGGATCCAAAGCCCCATTCAGGCAGGTTAGAGAGGAAGTAAGCCGGTTAGCCAGGGCTAGTCCTCTTTTGATGTGGCAGGATAAGTCTGGGTGTACGTAACCCAGGATGAAGGTTGCACGGCTTAAGTGATAGGGCAGAAAGCACACTATATAGATGAGCATGACCAGACCAATGGTGCGGAGAGCTCGGAGTTTGAGTGCTGGCTCCAGCCTTGAACCTTTCCGCAGACTGTTCACTATCAGCAGGTAGCAAGAAAGCGTGGCAAAGAACGGTGGCGTGAAGGCTACGGCGAGAGAGACGAGAGCATGCCTTGAGGCCTTTTCTCTGTAAAGTTGCAAGCATATGGTAGAGCCGTTGACTTCTGCAGTCTGCTTGGTGACCAGTAGGGGCGCCATAGACACTATCACCAAAGCCCATAGTGCAAAACTGGCTATGTGAGCGTAACGAGGGCGCCTGACCTTGAGGGAACGTACAGCATGTACCACAGCAAGGTATCTATCACCTGCAACACAGGCTAGGAAGTACAAACTGGCATACATGTTGACATAAAAGAAGAAGCCCGCAAGACGGCAGGGAATTTCACCAAATGGCCAATGTCCCCCAGTTAAATGATAAGTGGCTCTGAGGGGTAAAACAAAGATGTAAAACAGGTCAGCCACAGCAAGATGAAGCAGGAAGACATTGGCTGGAGAAGAGTTGCCTCTCTGGCGGGCGAAGATCCACAGGGCAAGGCTATTGCCGTTCAGTGCCAGAAGGAAAACTATGATGTAGTAGAATCCAAAGATCATGTTCTCCACTGTACTATCCACAGGTGGGCAGCTCTCCATGGATCGATTAGGCAGCAAGGTGGGAAGCTCTGTCAGGGGGGACTCCATTTTTGTAACTGCAAACAAAGGAACAAAAAAAATGTTTGTTAATTGTTTAAATTAATTAAAATATAAATGCTAATATAAATGCTAATATAAAAATCTATCAATTTTATTTTTGAATTTATGAACCATGAACTTATGAACTGAATAATAAAAATATTAAATAAAATAAAACAAATATATATATATATATATATATATATATATATATATATAAAT